TTTTGGTGGGGAAACTCTCAAATTGCAATAGCTGTATGCCTGTTGACTTAGTGAGTTCCTCCTCTTCACCCATGATTCTTTCAATTCCTGCATCGGGAATATGAGCTTGGCAAGCATCATTTTAGAAACTCAACCCAGGAAAGAAGCTGGAAGTTTTCAGTGTTCAGTATGCAAACTTTTAATCAATGTCTCTGTGTTTAAAGGATTCATTCATTCTTCCTTCCTTCATTTAACAAGTCTTTACCAAGTAGCTCTTAAATGCCAGGCCCTGTGAGCACTTGAAGTACATCAGAAATGAAAACAGACTAAAATCTCCACCTCTTGGAGCTAATGGATGTTCTCAAATCCAAAACTTAAAGCCCCATCTTCCATTAAGAATGGGAAGGAGTTATTTCTTTAGTGGCTGGTGGGGGAAAGACTTTGGGGCTATGACACTTAGTTCCATCTGTTCAAAAGGGTTGCTAAATCTGGTTCCCTAAACTTCAACCCGTCCTTACTTTCTAAGCTCTTCTTGTCCAACACCACTTTAGTCCTCTTGCTTTTTCCTCCAGAGATGCTGGCAGTGATTTTTGCAGCTTTTGGGGAGTGCAGTAACACAAGATAATGTCCTTCCTTTTCACTCAGTTCTGCTGAAGTCAGTTAAGACTCATGTATCCCCATTCAACTTCCTAAATCTGAGTTTTCTCCTCTTACCTCCATGTGTTTTTAAAGTTTGTATTATAATTTTAGAAAGTAGATATAGATGTCTACATTTGATCTGGCATGTTTAAGAAGTCAATCTGAATGCCATGACCAGCACAATCTTCATTAAGTACCCATCAGAGTTTGAAGAACATGCCATTGGGCACCTATTCTGCAAGTACCGAGTAATTAGTGTTTGTTACTTCCATACCTGGGGTGCCTGGGAAAAGTTCAGCCCCTCCGAAACCCTCTCCCTTTACAACATATACAGCCAACATTCAGTGACTACTGAGTTCAGCTTTGCTATCCTACCTACTGTAAAGCCAGGGTACGAGGGGGAACACAGGGGTCCCTGGTTCTCACATCATACTACAGTCCAGCAATTAATGAGAAGGATCACATTTATCATCTGGTTTTTTTTCCTCCTGCTCCTATCCTTGGGTCTGGACTAAACTGCCAGGCTCATTCCACTGGTTTAATCACAGCTCACTGAAATAAATGGGATACTATCCTGTCCCTGAGACACCAGTGCTAGGAGAAGCTTAAGAGAACAAATTAAACATGAACAGTTAAGGCTACCATTGAATTAAAATTAGATTAAAATATGAATCTAACCTTAAATAAGACGTCACTAGGCTAACTTCATTAGGCTAAACCTAGTGTTTCATTAAGTTGAATTAGGAACTTAAAAAATAGAACTGGGATTAGCTCAGTGTCTAACATATGTGAGGCCCTGGGTTCCTTCCCTAGCACAGAAAAAAAAATTAAGAATTAAGAATAAAATTTGCCCTGGGCAAAAAAACCCACAAAACCCTATCTGAAAAATAACTAAAGCAAAAAAGGCAGAGTGGGGTGGTGGTGGTACAAGTGGTAGAAGAGCAAGACTGAGTTCAAACCCCAGTGCTATCAAAAAATAAACCAAAAAACAAAAGCTGAACAAAACTTTTTTAAAAAACATCCTGCTTGAAAGCGTTGAGAACATTGAAAAGACAACATAGTAGTGAAAAATTACCAGGCTACCATCTGACTGACTAAGATGAAAATCCAGAGAAGGGAGTGTGCCATTCTCTTGCGAGCATTTGTTAATCCCAACAAAGCCAGTGTTTGGTGGCTGAGAAGTGTTTCTGATGGCCTGGTACAGAGGGACAAAGTTGGACAATGGTGAAAGACAGTAGTGTGGGTTGGGACCATAAAGAGTTGTCCTTTAGGAGTAAGGAAGAAATATAAGTAAAAGAGCCTTCAGGTGACCTGTAGCCTGGTTTCAAATCATCCTGGTGACCCAGAATATCTCAGGCCCTGCAATGGACTAAGAGGATCCCAGATAGCTAATGCCCTCAGGCTACTGAAAGAAGAAAGGACCTCCCTGGAGGGGGACATTATTTTAAGCCTAAAATTATTTCTTCAAACAACTATTTAAATGCAGCATCTGATATAGTCAAAGAAAACCAGGCATAGACCCAGATAAGATAATATGAACAAGAACCAGCAAACTCAACAGAAAATAGAAACAGACTCACACGGTCTCACATCCTGACACTAATCAGACTTAACAACAATTAGCTTACTATGTTCTAGGAAGTAAAATGCAAGGTTGAACATTTTAGCAGAGAACTGGAAATATTTTTGTGAAGACACAGCAGAAATGAAAGAAGAACCAATAAAAATCCTAGAATGAAAAATACAATAACTAAAATTAATACAGTGGATGATTTTTACCAGATGATCTGGCCAAAGAGAGAAAGAAATAACTGAAAAATAAATCAGAAGAAAGTATTCAGAATGACACATAAATCAGACATGTTGGAGAATGGCTCTAATCCCAGCAATCCAGGGCTGAGGCAGGAGAATCCAGAGTTCAAACTAGCCTGGGCTACATAGTGAGACCCTGTCTCAAAACACGCACACACACACATACACACACACACAAACAGAATGACACATAAATGGGCAAAACACTGGAAAATACAGTCTATGTATGTATGTATGTATGTATTGTCTATGGTCAGAGACTCATAGACAATAGCAGAGAATGAAGCCAAAGCAGTATCTGAAAAGATAAGGTGGAGAATTTTCCAAAGCTAATGTATGATACAGATCCACAGATTGAACGTTAGATTAAATGAACTTTGCAGAGAAGACAGAGAAGGAAAGTTTTAAATCAAAGTTGACTTTCAGAGTTCTAGCTTGAGCATAAGGGTGATGTGATCAACTGAGATATGAACAGAGAAGGAAGAAGAGGTTTGTCACAGCTGGGAGGAAGCAGTGTGAAACAGAAACAGTAAGCTCCAATCTTTACCTGTTAAATTTAACATCTAGGCAAGAATAATGAATGGTCCATTATTTCTTGAGTAACAATTCTTTTTCTCATCATATTGAGGAATATCCAAGGTTCTCATTGCTACAAAAGGACAATCAAGACTTTATTATCAACACCCTCAGGCCTCCTTCTTATCCTTCTGAACTCCATGCTTCACCTCCAAGGGTTTCTCTGTAAATGGACAATTGCAACAAAATTTGCTAGGCTTGCAAACTATATTAGTCTGGTGTTCAGATGTGGTTATCTGTCTAACGCAACCTACACAAAGAAAAACCCATCACAACAAAATAATGTTCTTTTTAGCTTTTAACCCATGATCAAGGGCTCCATATTTTAAAAAATATAGTATTCCTAATTTGCAAGTTAGGAGCAAATTGTAGGACTTGTGCATATGACACCAACTTCAAACAATGGAATAAATACAACTTTGTATAACAATCTACACTGTTATCTCAAGGATTATCATGAGGGATTTTTGCATGCATACTTATTTTACTTTATTAATACACAAAATAACACCACTGGCTGCCATAAATTTCTGGGTTTTTTTTTTTACTTAGAAAACAGCACAATTTTCACAATAAACTTTGTGACTAATGGATAAAAATGACATTGCATGCTTTATTTACAACTGAAAAGTTCCCCCAAAAGGTTAAGAGATGATACTGATGATGGTAGATATTTACTAAGCATTTCTGTATGCCAGAAACTGTTCTAAGGGACTTCCATGGAATTGCTCATTGAAGAGATTTAAATATATCTGATAACATGAATTATATACGAATGACATAAATAATACTATTTAATGGAAAGTCAGACAATTATTTTTAAACAAAACTATTATTTTTATAAAATGCATTACAACCCCACAAGTACAACGAGGGACCAGAGATATATGTGAGAGAAATTAGGGGGGAAAAAAACACTGTAATAAACTACAAGCAAATCTATAATGTTTTTCCATGATATTAAATTTTTCTTCTGAAAATAAGAATAAAATTTCAAAACCAATGAACAGGAAAATAATTTTGTTTTCAAGTAACCTTTTCCCTGACAGCATTCTATTTTTAATGTATCTAGAGTGTCCACATGATTGCCTGATGCAATTAAAGATGAATTTTTCAACACCAACCACACAGTCCAGTTGTCCAAGGTGTTTACGTTCTAGTTTTTGCCTGTATAAATGCTGCTATGTTATTGTGCTTTCTTGGCTATTTTTCCAAATCGTCATGATGAACACTTCAATCATAATTTTATATAATGTGGTCAAATTTCCTAATAGCTTCAAACAGCAGAAATGACTAAGACATATATTCACTTAAACAGAAGACTCTTTCAGGAGAACTTTGCCTAATAAAATTCATTAACTAACTCCTGAAATTATTAAATGTCTTAAAGATTTTTAAATAATCTGGGACATTATTTAATCATATTTTGATATTATAGAAGGCTGAAATTTAATAGCTAACCCCTGTTTACTTCTTTTCAGCCATTCTGGCTGTTGGAGTCCTAGAAATGTGATTATCTTGCTTAGCTGCTTTTTTACTATTATAGTCTGTGATCATTATTTTAAAAACTGAATTTGCAGAATTGTTTGACTCTTCAGGTAATATAGAACCCTTAGGGTCTATAGGACCTGGGCGTCTAGACCATCATATGTTTGAATCCCCTCTGCCACAGTAACTCAATACTTCCTGGCAAATAGGGAATTCCACACAAGACAACTCATTCCATTTTCAGTTGACACTGTTACAAATATCTTCCTTACACTGAGCTGAAATCGTTCCTAAAACTGTCACTTACTGAGGCTTCACCAATCCCAGCCCATCCAGGCAAGATGACTTTGGGCAAGTTATCTCTTGTTGCTTTAGTTTCAAAATGGGGATAATAGATGTGTGTGGAGATTAACTAAGAATGTTTACAAAGCACCTGGCACAACAGAGGGCCTCCATGAGCAACAGCTCTTACTAGGAACAGGAAACCCTCCTCTGCGTGGCTATCATTTACTCTCCTCCAGGCCAAATATCGCCATTTCCCTCAATGTTTCTTGAACAACATGGTATTGTGTTCCTTATTCTTCTAGTTATTTCTTTCTGAATGAGTTCAGTTCTTTGAGAGAAAAGGTCAACTGCCAATTTTAAAAAGTTATGATTATCACCTGAGAGCAAGCTCCAAAGTTACAAGTGTCATTGCAAGACAATATTTCTCTTTCGTCTATTGCTGACTTAATCTCCTCCCCTCCAGTGTCCCCAAATGTGGCTCTCTGGAAAGCTGGGCTATGCGGAAGACAATAGGTATGGATACTTTCTGGTTCTAAGGTGAAGAGATGACAGACGTGCCCCCTCAGACTTTAGGGTATATCTGAGAAGTTCCCCTTTTCATTCTGGTAAGATGTGGGCTCTTCCTCCTCGAAGGTGGCTCCTCTCTGGCGTCTCCATTCCTTCCTCTGGACTTCACAATTCTGTGTGGTGGCTCCATAAGACATCTTCTTTCTGGGACTCATGGAAGTCTCATGATTGAGTTCTGTCTCCTCAGCTAATTCGTCTTGGTCAATAATTCCGCATTTCTCCTCAGAGAGATTCTCTGGGTCAGCCCACTCCTGTTTCTCCCCAGAAGCAAAGACCCCATAGAAGATCACACCACTGTAGTGCACCAGAGCAGCTATGAGAAACACGTTCTGCCATTCCTCACGAGTCTAAACAAGGGGATAAAGTAAAAATTGATATTTTAACCAAAAACAGAGAGGAGCAGTGTGTTGAGAAGGCCTCCACTTGGACAAAAGCACCTGTCCACCCCAAAGGCTGCACTATGCTTCTTGGGAGGACGTGTGTGAGAAGCTGTGTCTAGGATCCATAATTAATTTGAGTATTTAAAATATGAAAGTGAAGATTATAATGAATATACATTTTTTTAATTTTAAAAGTACATTTTAATGACATGAGATATGGCTCAAATATTAGAGTGTTTGCCTAGTAATCATGAGGCCCTGAGTTCAATCCCCAGGGCCACAAAAGAGAGAGAAAGTAGAAGGAAGGAAGGAAATAAGGAGGAGGAAGGAAGGAAGGAAGGAAAGGGAAGGAAGGAAGGGAAGGAAGGAAGGGAATTTAAAAATAAACAACATATAAAAATACATGATGCACCATTACACAACTCTTCTAAATATACAAATGGGGTTTTCTCTCACATAGAGGCAAAACTTGCTATAGGACCCCACTATTTTAAATAACAGAGCTCTGCCTCTTGCTTGCTGTTGGGTACATAACAATATTTGAACCATTACAGTGTGGACAGCTATAACTTATTGGTAATCATAGTTCCTATGTTAAAAGTAGTAAATCAAAAAAATAATGAGAACTTGTGTTTAAAGTTAGGGGAAGATAGTATTTTGGATTTAATAGACAAGTGACCAGTCCCATCATCTCAGGACCATAGAGGAAAAGCATGGATCTCCTACCTAGAAAATCCCCAAATCTCACTTTCCTTTTCTATCAAAAAGCAAGAAAATTTACCTCACATTTTCTTCAATAAGGATATGGAAGACTTTCTAAAGTCAATTTTGTAATAATCAATCCAACTAAAAAAGTGGGTAAGGGCTGGTGGAGTAGCTCAAGTGGTACAACACCCACTTAGAAAGCATGAGGCCCTCAGTTCAAACCCCACTACCACACACACACACAAAAATAGGCAAAAACACCATGATATCAATATTTGCCTAAAGCAACTTCGTGAACTTTCTTCAGTGGCAGAGATACAATATTCCTGTGCCCTGCAGTTGAATTCTGGGTGGTTAAACTAACCATCCATGTTCATCTAAATACAAAAAGGTTCTGTAAGTTCTGAGTGCCACACCCTTGAAAGTTCTTAGGCAGGGTCATTAATGTCTTGTTTATTTTCTTCTTAACAAGGAAGTATAACAGCACTAATACTTTTATGCTGGGACGTTCTAAGCTATCGATGGATATGGGCTATAAAGTTTAAGTACTATGAATTATAAAACATAGTAACTCATTCATCCTGAGTTGATCACCTCAGTTTCTTCTTTGTGTCTCTCAACAGTTTCTGTGGCCTTCACCCCTATCCCCCAAACACTTATTTCTCAGGTGATAAAATGTGGAACTGAACAACAATTACCCTTGGTGCCATCAATGAAAAATGACTTAGCCAGGCGTGGGCTAATCCCTATAACCTAAGCACTCAGGTGGCTAAGACAGAGGATCATGAGTTTTAGGCCAGTCTGGGCTACATAGAGAGACCCTGTCTCAAAAAAATGAAACAAACAAAAATAAATAAACATGATTTAAAAAAAAAAAACAGAAAAAGAGAGGAAGAAGAGAAAGAAAAGGAAGAGGAGGAAAATGTTCAAGACACAGTCAAGGTTAAGGGACACACGTTTACAGGCTGGGGTTGGGCCTGGAGAGCTCCATTTTGTGCAGCACCTCTGACCTCTGATATTATAACCGATAGCTACAAAGGAGCTCATTACCTTGTGCTTGGTCATTGCACCAACAATGAGAGGGCAGACCATTCCAGAGAGGGTTCCCACTCCGTTTGAGATCCCCATGAGAATGCTGGCATAGCGGGGGGCAATGTCCAAGTGGTTGACATTAAAACCTGCAATGAAGCCAGAATCTCAAAATCAGAGTCAAGAAAAGAGTAACACACACCCTCGGTAAAACACATGGCTTGCCCCAGCTCTCATTAGTCTACTTCACCTCTGCAGCGTGAGACTGACGGATGGTCTACCAAGATGAACAGTGCCAGGCTGTGTCTGCATAGAGCAGGAAAACATGCTGCCTCTGACTGATCAGCAATGTCTACATGGGCTCTGGATGGGGAGAATTACAGCATGTGTGCCCTGCAGATTTGGAGCTGCGAACTATAGTGTTGCGGGGGAGGGGGAATTAAAAACTTAAAGACTAGACTGCATTTATTTAAAGCAAATAATCAAATCCTGTGGAACCAAACTTTGCCTCCTAATGTGGCCCCTCCTAGCCCTGAGCTCACTCATAAATTCTGCCTTCCTGGCCACACGACTTACTGAAAAGTATACTTACTGCTAATAACATTTGCACACACATTGGCAGAACCCTCTGTAATTTACAAAACACATTCACACACCTGCTTGATTTGGAGTCTGAACATTTGGATTTAAATCTTATTTCCACCATGTAACAAGTACCTTTTTGACCTTTGTTTCTTCATCTCTAATACAGGGATAATATTACTACTCGCCTCTTAAAGATGCTGTGACCAGAGACAGGAAAATACACACCTGGGAGCCCTTGGCAAATAGCTAAGCTATTCTAACTGCTACTGTCACTGCTGCTGAAGCTGCTGCTGTTACCAATAAGCAACTCCCTGTGTCTGAGGTCTTCTATCAAAACGTAATGCTGCCCTGGACATGGGCAACACCAACACCTCATTGTCATTCTGCTTTCCAGGAGAAAGGAATAAACAGAAGGAAGGAAGAAGATAGAAAGCCAGAGACGGCAAAGCTATGAAAGAGGCTAAAACCCTCAGTTTCTTCATCTATAAATTGAGGCAATCATTCTTATAAAATTGTGTAAGAATTAAGATAAATAATGTGTGTTACTTACATGGCACATAGGGGTGAAAGTCAACATTTACAGTCTTTCTTGAATTCACTTTTAAAATTTTTTTTCTCTTTATTTTTTATTTATATTTTTGAGATGGTGTCTCCTATATTGCCCAGATGGGTCTCAAATTTATGGACTTCAGCAATCCTTCTATCTCAGCTTCCTGAGTAGCTGGAACTATAGAATTGCTCTATCCTGTCCAGCAACAAGTATGTTTTTGATGGGTTGCTAGCCATCTGTCTTGTTTACCACTATCTTCCCTGAACCAGCAAAGTGTCTGGCACCTAGCAGTCACTCAATAAATAGTTGTTTTATAAATTACCAACTTGAGCTACTGAAATTACAGCAAGGAGTTGTAGGTTTTATTTATTCATGCTTTGATTTTCCTTTGGTTTGTTATTAAGTTCTCTATTCTGTGCAAAGAACTGAAATAGGTTTAAACCTATTTAAAACCATTTTTTCTTCTAATCTGGCATATTGGTTGATTGTTTTTCTACCTCCATTCAGGGAGAAATTTTAAGAAAATCTCTTTTTGTAACAAATTATACCTCTCTTTTAGATCACACTGTCAGACAATCAGAATATAAAACAGCTGCAAAATTAATTAATCTTACTGTGATTTGAAGGCAATAAATACTTTATTAGAAAATAGTCCAGAGATAAGAAACAATTAACATGACTGCTAGCTGTAAGATTCTGTTATAAGGCCAGCCTAGACACCTGTGTTCTGCTAAAGATATATCAAAAAAGCCATTTAGGTTTCTAGCTGCACAATTCTGGTGTTGGTGGTGGGAGGAAATCGCTAGGAAACTAAGCTATTGATAGATTTTTGTAGCAGATAAAACAGTTACAAGCTAGAGTCTGTCTTCTCTACCTAGGACATTTCCCAAAGCAGGTGTCACTCATTCCTCACACCTGTCCAGCCTCTCCTGTCTCAGCTTTCTTGTCTATAATCCCAATTTATTCCTGATGAAGCTGCACATATGAGATCCTGAGGAATGATCACCCTCTCCATGGCCACAGCCCCTCCGAGCATGTCAGCATTATCAGACTTTTATTCTAATTTAAGATACTCAATGTACTTTGGCAGGTTAAATCACTCCTACGAGCCTCAGTTTCCTCATTGGTAAAATAGATGTAGCGGCCCTTCTCACAGGATTGCAAAGAGGATGAAATGAGACCTTTTTTTATTTTTTGGCGGTACTGGGGCTTGAACTCAGGCCCTACACCTTGAGCCACTCCACCAGCCCTCTTTCTGTGATAGGTTTTTTTTGAGATTGGGTCTTGCAGATTGTTTGCTCAGGATGGTTTTGAACCATGATCCTCCTGATTGCTGCCTCCTGAGTAGCTAGGATAAAAGACATAAGCCACCGGTTCCTGATGAGACCCTATTTTTAAAATGGCAAGCACAAACCAAGGGCTTTACGAAAGGCAGCTATTGTGACTGGGAGGACTGGGTGCCTCTAATTCTGATTGCAACTTAATTGACAATCCAGGGAAAGGAAGTAATGTGAACCTGAACATTTCCTGTATCTCTGGAAACAGAATATGAATCTGTTTTGCATCAAAGTTATCAAGAGAAGGTGTTCCTCAACATCCGAATGGAAGCAAGTCATGACTGATCAATCCTTGCTACTCAGAGTGTGAACTCCTCCCTAGGCACAGTGGTTCACATCTGTAATTCCAGCACTCAGGAGACTGAGGCCAGAGGAACACAAGTTCAAGGCCAGCTTAGGCTACATAGTGAGTTCAAGGCCAGGCTGAGCTACATATTGAAACCTTGTTTTAAAAAAACAAGGGCTGGGGATGTAGCTCTATAGCAGAGCACTTGCCTAGCGTGCACAAGACCCTGGGTTCAATTCCCAGCAATACACACACAGAGTATAGATTGTTGATCAGCAACACTGCAGTGCTCATTAGAAATGCAGGCTCTCAAGACTCACTCTGGCCCTACTAAATAAGAATCTGCATTCTGTGAATCTTCAGTGTCTGTGTACATTGAAGTTTGAGAGATCGAGACGCACTGGGCTAGCGTGCACAATAAACAACAACAATCTTAAATACGTATTAAGCTTCTTCTGCATCTGGCACTGTGCTAAGGGCTTCTAATACCTTATTTTCATTAGAATGAAAGTTTTATGAAGGGAGAATCTTTGATTTGTTCACTGCAATAGCCCTGTGCTGCGAACAGTGCCTAGCTAGTGGGAAGTGTGAGTGAATGCATGAAAGACCTCAGTTCATCCTCCCACAGACCCTATAAGGTTGCTGTTATACCTCTCCAATCTCTGGGTGAGAACTTAAATAATTTAGAAAATTAGTACATGATAAGTAGTTAAGAAAGGTCAATGCACTTCCAAACCCAATTTCTTAGCTGTAAGCTAAGAAGACATTTTTTTCTAATTTACTACTCATCAGCTCTGTTTGTTTGATAGACACCCCAAGCCCTTGTTTTAGGGTAGTTTAGACCAGAGTTCACGCCTTTTTTCTGTTTTGGCACATTACCATCCTATTTGATATTTAAGGTAGTGTAAGCTAATGCAAAGAACACAGACTTTGAGCCAAGCAGATCTGTGCTTCCGTCCTTCCTTCACTACCAACTGTGTGACATTAGCAAAGTACCCATTTTTTTCTGAGCTTTCATAAATATAAGTAAAGTAGTGAAAAAAAATCAGTAGAATTCTGATATTAGTACTTGCTTCACAATGTTGTGAGATAGATGTAAATTTTGCCGTAAATAACCCAATTATTTTCTCATGTAGTTTTGCACACAATGCTTTTGAAGTCAAAAAGACATAATATTATTGTACTCTGGCCTCTCCCAATAACTTGGTTTTTATTCCTGTAAACTGGGGGTTTTAGTAGCACTGATACCCCTTAGGGTAACTGTGAGAATGACAGAGCTTAATACACATAGAGGGCTTTGAGTGTCCCGAGCACAGAGTCTACACTTGATCAAAGTAAGCTCACGTCATTGTTATTATTGTTATCAACCTGCTCTACCAGTTTTGAAAGTCACTTCCCCTTTCTGGACCTGTATTTTCTTATTTGGAAAATGAACTAATGAAATGGGTCAAGTTTAAGGAAGTTTTCCACTCCAAAAAACTTCTGATGCTCTATGTCAAATGACAATCATTTGAGCTACCATATCAGTCCTCCAGCAGGAAGTGAGGATTGAAAGAGTCACAACAGCCTCTGTTAGGTAGGGTGACCTAGGCTGACTCAGGTCACATGCTTGAGTCTGAGCCCATGCCTCAGGAAAGTCTCCTGCATTTGTATCTTTTCCTATGCAGATAAGTAGGGAGAATCCCAGCTCAAATGTGATCCAAAGATCATCCCCACAGATCTTACTCCAACTAGATAAAACTCTCTCAGCAATGGCCCTGCTCCTTGGCAATGGCCTAGCTACTGAAAGAAGGGTTTTAGGAGTTTTTAACTCCTAAAAAAAAAGAAAGAGAAAACACTACCACCAGGTTCTCATCCTTCCTTCCTCTTGAAACCTAATAAATCTATAAGTCAAGATTCAGAAACCTAAAGGATACTTTACCTGAAATAGCAAAGCCACTAAATCCTACAGCAAGCACAAGAAAGGAGATAGCCACCCCTTTGGTATGGGAGAAGCCAACCACCAGGAGCAGGGTCGCCTCCATGCCAAAGCCTGCAATGAGAATCATGTCAGTCAACCTAAAGTTATTGATTTATCAAGTAAGAATCCATAGTTCCACAAGTCCAAGTTTCTTGTTCATATACTCTGGCCCAGTGCTTCTGTATTACCTATATGTTTCACGACTACATGACTGTGCTAATCTTACCTGGGCATGCTGTAAACTTTCTAACATTGTCCTGGTGCAGTAACTTTCTAACATTGTCCTGGTGCAGTAATTCCAGAGATGCTTCTGGGGTGGGAAATGGTTTTAGTTAATTCATGGGCAGTTGCCCTGACATTTCTAAATATTAAAACTTTTCTACATGCTGTTAATGAATCTCCTTTGACCACATAAGTTGTAACCTCTCACATAAAAAGAATACACTTCTCCAGTATTTCTTGCTTAAAGCAACCAGACAGCTGTAGTGATTATCTGAAATAAAACACATCTTAGAATTCATGAAGCATACAGCAAAGTTCTTCCCTTTCATTAGTTCACCAAGCTCTAAGGTCTCTTTTTTTTAAAAAATGAGGTATTTGTTCAGAAAATGCAGGAAGACAAAAATACTTTCTGTTCCTTCCATTCAGAACAAATGAGTCTAGTAGAATTTTTTTTAAAAATGACAAAATTATGAATTAGTTTCTTCTCATCAAAAAAAATGAAAGAAAAAGTTCAGCTAACAGCAGACAGAAAGATGGCATGAATACCATTTGCAGTATATGAAATGTCCTGGGAGTGGGGAGATAATTAGTGGGGCTTTGTTCTGGAGACTGCTGATTCCAGACATCTCCACACGACTGACCTACAGTTACCTCCAAGGCAACATGCCAAATCAAGTCTCATTTGCCCTGATTTTTACTCCTAAAAAAAAATCAAAGCAAACCACTACCACCAGGCATTTCCTTTTGTTCTCCAGATCTATCTATCCATCTGTATAGTCAGACATGCCTGGCTCTACCTCGGAATTGTGTGACCTTGAACAAATTACTTCACTCCTCAAATTCATAATCCAACAAAATGGAAATACCAGTACAACCTTGTAGGACACTGGAAGATCAAATGAAGCTGTATAGGCAAGGTATTAAATGCAGCACATAGGTACAAATAGTAGCCCAAAGTCCAAGGCAGAAACAGCTCCACCAATTACACAGAAACAATGTCTCAGTGATGGGACAGAACTAAATATGAGCAAGATATTTATTTCCTCAAAATATGTTCAAGAGTCTTCAGGGCATCTGGGTTTAGAAGAGGTTTTAAAAATAGTATTAATCCATGATTTTCTTTCAACTTGCTAATTTAGAAGTACATAATTTTAGCCAACAGAAATACAATTGAATAGCTGGTATTTGTGGAATGCCTCCTTTGGAAAACTTTTCTTTCTCAGTATCTTGAACACAAAAGAAGAAAAAGCACTAATATTAATTGAGAAGCTTTCACAGATTGAAAAATATACCACGTGCAATTACGCATTGCTTCACTTAACTCTCATGATTATCATCTGAAATTAATACAATTATTATTTTGTTGTGGGTTTTTTTATTTCATTTTGTTCTGGTTTTTGAGACAGAGTCCAGGATGATTTGGGATTCAGAATCCTCCTATCTCAGCTTCCCTAGTGCTGAGAATATAGTCATGTGCCACATGCCTGGCTTACTATTTAGATCTTAAAGAAGAGAAAAGCTGACTCATAGAATTTCCTCCATTTCCATCACCATTAATTCAAGACATGTCCACCATGTCTTGACTGGACAACTAAAATAGCCTATACTTGGTCTTCCTGCGTGTGGCCTATGTTTCATTCTCCAGATTTGAAAACATGAATCAGATCATGTCCTTTCCCTACTGTCAGAGTTTAAATGTGAAATTCAACATAGGCTCATATGTTGAACCCCTGGTCCCCAGCTGGTGGGGGCCTAGATGGAGGAAATAGGTCCCAAGGGTGTGTCCTTGGCCCTGGTCCCTTCCTGTTTGCTGTAAAGTGAATCATGCTACCATGATGTTCTGCCTCACCACAGGCCCAGAATCAATGAGCCAAGAACAATGGACTGTTGTCTCTGAAACTATTAGCCAAAATAAGTCCTACCTCCCTTAGGTTATTTCAGTCAGGTATTTCATCACAGCAACCAGAAAAGTAACTAATACACCTGCTTTAATCCATTTGCTTCCCAATCATTTCAACAAAAAGCCAAGTACTGAATGTGTCTCTAAGACCCGCCTGGGTCCAACTCCGGCTGAGCATTTTGGTCTTACATCCTATCATTCTCTACCTCACCTACCATTCTGCCTTTCCTTCCTTCTGTTCTCAAACATATCACATTCATGCCTAGCCTCGGGCCATCATACATGCTTTTTCCCCTCTGCTTAGAATGCTTTCCAACAAGACTGTAATAAAGTATCACATGATGAGTTGTCCCCCAATTCATATGACCATAAAGGGACCGCTAGAGGCTGATGTGGTTCTTTAAACACAAGAGGAAAAGACCTGAACCAAATGGGAAAAGATGTTGCTTTAGTCAGCTTTTCATTACTGAGACAAAATACCTAAGGTAAACAACTTAAGGAGAGAAGGATTTTTTTTGTCTCAGTTTCAGAGATTTCAGGCCATGCTCACTTGGCTCTATGTTTCAGGGCCTGTGCTGAGGTAAAACATCATAGTAGAAGAGTGAAGGACAATTGCCTACCTCATAGAAGCTAAGAAGCAAGAGAGATGCCAGGGACAAGATATTCCTTTCAAAGGAATAACACTCCTGCAGTGACCTCTTCCTCCAGTCAAACCCCACTTCCTAATAGTCCACTCAGCTATGAACTCATCAGTGAGTTAACCATTAATGAAGTTAGCATGTTCAATCACCCTTCAACAGTGCCACTGGCTGGCAACCAAACCTTCAACACATGAGCCTTTGGGGCCATTTTATATTCAAGCCATAACAGACATGTAGAAAAGACTGGGGTGAGAGATGAAGATGAACAGGACTCACAGTAAAGAGAAAAGGAAGGAGCAAAGTCACAGACAGAAATGTCCATGGCCCGGGGTGGAGGGCTGTAAACTGGTACAGAATTTGACAATTAGAGAAGTGAGACTTCGGCTACTTTAGTAGATTCTAATCGCTACTATAACAAATTACCACAAACTTAATGGTCCAAAACAACACAAATTTTATTATTGTACAGTTCTGGAAATCACAAGTCCTAAAGGAGTCCTACTGAGCTGAAAGCAAGCTACCAGCTGAGCTATATTCATTGTGGAGGCTCCAGAGGAGACTGCGTTCTTGGCCTTGCCATCTTCTAGAGTCTGCCTGCATTTCTTAGCTTGTACTTACATCACTCTGACTCCCACTTCCATCATCAAACCTCCTTCTCGGACACTCACCCTGTAGCCTCCTCTTGTAAGAACCCTTGTGATTATACTGGTTCCACCCAGATAATGTAGGATAACCTCCCCATCTCAAGATCTTTAATTTTATCACATTTGCCAAGCCCTTTTTGACATGTGAGTAAGCATATTCTGAGAGTCAAATAGACATTTTTTTGCCTACTACAGCTATCTTGGAGAGGATCCTAAATTTAGTGCCTCAGAGCTTCACCTCTGCCCACCAAAGAACAGGACTATACCTGCTGACCTCAGTCTTCTAGACAAAAATTCAAGCTAAAGTCAATCCCAAGCATCTCTGCCTGGTTACCAGGTTCTAGTCTTTTTATTCATACTATGTCCTCATGAGGCTGTGAGGCCGAAATGTGCTTGCTCCTATCTCTCCACACACATTCTTCCCTTCTAAATGGACCTGACCCATCTAATCTGGAGTCAGAGCATGGCCATCCTCTCCTTTTCAATTTAATATCTCAGTTGTGACCTCCTGTCCATAGATGGTGCTGTCCTCTACCTCCATTCAGTCACCCTCCCCCCAACAAAGAGTAACAAGAGCATCAGCAATGGGCTCAGTCAGACCTGATGTCTTGCACATAATCTACTACTTGAGTAAGTCACTTTATTTTATCTCACTTTTTACAATTTCTTTCTGTAAACTACACAGAGTAATGGTACTGGACCCATAGGGTGATTATGAGGATTAAATAAAATAATGTATTTAAAGAACCTAGCTTCGTATTTGGCACAGAAAGCACTCAATAAATGTTAATTTAAAAGGCAAAACAAGAGTTGATACAGTGGGTCAAGCAATAAGAGCAGTAAGAGGTCTGCCTAGCAAGTGTGAGACCCTGAATTCAAACCCCAGTGCTGCCAAAAAATAAATGAATAAAAAAAAAAGCAAAACAAATGAGCTAAGAAGAAAACAGAGGCACTGGTGGTCCATGCCTGTAATCCTAGCTACTTAGGAGACAGAGATCAGGAAGATTATGGTTTGAAGCCAGCCCTGGCAAATAGTTCCACAAGACCCCATCTCAGAAAAAAAAAGGTGGCGGGGGCTGGCAGAGTGGCTCAAGGTGAAGGCCCTGAGTTCAAACCCTAGTAGCTTTTAAATAAAAAAAAGAAAGAAAATAGAGAAATTTAAAAATGTGAACAGTCGTAAATGTTGTAGGGGTTCATAACTAATTTCACTACCTCTTTTGAGAAAATGCCTAACTCTCACTTTGTCTTTGCAAAATCAAAACACAAAGCAGGAACTTAAAAAAAAGGCAGAAAAGAATGTGGTCTGTGTGTACTTTTGTGTGTATATGCACATATGTGCATATGCATATGCTCATACACAAGCATATATTGGAAAGAAAGAAGACTATGCAGAGAAAATACTTTCCTTCTGTGTATGTGCAGAAAAGGAAGGAGAAAAGGAAATAAGCTCCATAAACAAACATTAAATATGGAAGGATATATGAAAAAGTAAACAATAAACAGACATGTAACTGGAAGTCATATTACTCTGGCTTAAGAGTAGATAAAAGAAACATTTCTTTGGTTTTAAGAGTGTCCTGATTTATCAGCCCTCACCTACATTGTCCTATCTCAGGTTGCATAAGTGTAGGCTGGATAACCACTTGATAGGGGCATGATGAACAAAAAACTGTCTGCTGGGAGGATGGAATTAGGTGTCTTTAAGATCCATTCTGATGACTAGACATCACCTCTAAAACATGTTCTGAAGTTCCATTTACTCTAATTCTGTAAAAGCCATGGAAGCCCTCTCCAAAGTCCACAGTACCTCCACAGTTCATGATCTTTCTAACAGCAGTGGTGGTCAAAAATTTTCTGCTTCTTAAATAATCAGCCAGTTGTCCTCCAATAGGCACAACAATTGTCATCACCATATGTGGGACTGCTGACAAGAGACCCACCTGGAAGAAAAAGAAACAGTGAGTCATCTTTCATTTTTCATTACTTCTGAAAGATGTAGCTCCAAAGTTCCCTGTTCACCCCACTCCACAACTCACAGCCACCACTAAATTTAATCATCTAATGTAGGATCCAGAGAGGTCTGAATTTCATAATAAATGATGAATGAGTAAATGATTATGAATATAGACTAATCTGTCTACATTGGAAGTCCCTGAGGACAGAGAGAAATTTTATTAATCACAGAGGCCCCAGCAGTCAGCATGGGTCTTGACATGAAGAAGGCAGAGCACTTGGAGAGTGCTCACTCATGACAGCCACCATCAAGTGACTATGCTGGCTCTTCCATGGTCTCGTCCGACAGTATCTATAGCTACGTAGACATCTACCTCTGCTAGGCTGTGGTTCTCTCCCTTGTAGGAAAGAAGTTTTATTCTCTTAGGCTGAACTTTTATGTCTCACCATCCAAAGCCTCCTTTCCTGAGACACACACAGACTAATGACAATGGCTAAGGACATTGAAAGAGACTCTTTCTAAGCCATCACAAGCAATGTTGGTTACTTCTGCAACCAACCATCATTATAGAGAGAGAGGTGGTCTGAAAAATGAGCGTTAGGATTCTTTCTGCTACTCAATGAATAGTTTATAAGGAGAAAAAACCCATACTTGTCAAATCTTTTTATCCTTGCCTAATAAGGTATTGAATTAGCTTTAAAAACACTTTAAGACTGGGTAGAACCTCAATTTTTGAAAGCAGCTTAATACAGTTCTGATCCTTACTAAGAAGAAATTAAGTAGCTAATATATTATGCACAGAATGCACAACTTGTCTGACCTCCAGGTTATTAGGTGTCACAGAACTGTTTTGAATTATGATCAGCAATTTAATTATTTTATAAAGATATTCTCAATAAAATCAAGAGAATAAAAGTTCAAGAATGTTTGAGGCATCTGTGTGTTTACCTTACTTATTGCAAATCCAAAGACCTCTTCAAAATAAGCAGGCTGACTTATTAAGAGCAAATAAAAGGTCCAGCTTCTGCAAAAGTTTGCCACAATGATTGCATAAACCGGCAACGACGTGAAAAATCTTTTCCATGGAGTATTAAATTTCTAGGGAGTAAAAAATATCATGTGATTTTTAGTAAAGATATTGATACCCTTTCTGAAAAGATAACTACTCATAGAAAAGAAGTGAGACTTATCCATCCATTTATACTTACACTTAGACTGACTAAGTTGGCTCCTTCTCCTATACTTGTCTCTATATAGGTCCTCTCCTCGTTGGATATTGTTGGGTGAGTTGCTGGGCACTCATAGGCCTGCAACAGCCAAAACATGTACCAAACAATGCCAAACATACCTGCAGTTAGAAAACAAAGGTTTGATTATGTCTCATTTTCTTCTATTTCAAAGTTTTTCAATTTTTTTATTGCTTTTGTTTTGTTTTGTTTTGTGGTACTGGGGTTTGAACTCAGGGCCTACACCTTGAGCCACATCACCAGCTGTTTTTTGTGATGGGTTTTATTGAGATAGGGTCTTGAAAACTATTTGCCTGGGCTGACTTCAAACCACAGTCCTCTGATCCTGCCTCCCGAGTAGCTGGGATTACAGACATGAGCCACCAGCTCTCAACAGTTTTTCAGCTTTTAATAGTAGTCTGAAATAACAGTCTGTTCAGCTAAGAGAAATTATTTTGTTGATTTTCCTATTGTTAACTGGTATTTAAAGAAAGATAATGTTCTGCTTGTTTAAAAAAAAGTCAACTTTAATATAAACATTAAATTAATAAGAATTACTAATTCTTATTAATAAGAATTCCACTAATACAACAAACTTTTCTTAGTAATTTCTTTTTTCATATAATAAACTCTCAGCCAGACCCTAATACAGGAAACTACCATGTCTACGAGTCACTATGTGAACTCATGAAGTCAAATTACTTACCATAAATATAAAAGACCGAGGCCCATCCAATGTACTGCACCAATACCCCAGCCAGGGGCATGGCAACCACTGCCCCCGCATAGGAACCTGGAACAAGAAAAGATTGAGAGAAGTTGGCCAATTGGCATGCAAACCTTCTCAACTCATTGACAGTTCATTTAGCTCAATCCAAGTCAAACTACCTCCATCGGGAGAGAGTCAGGCAAACTCCTAGTGTGTGCCTTAAGACAGAGCTTCCAGGAGAGGAAGGTCACCAGGCTGCCCTTTAACTCCACCCAGAGACCATCCAGGACTTAGGCAAAGATTGCTCAAGCACCACAATTTAGAATTGCATTTGAAAATGGAATCCAAAAATGACAAAAATGGAAGAGAAATTTGAAAATTCAGCCATGTAGAATATTGGGTACTGAAGATGGCAAGTGAAGGAACATATGGACCCTGTTTTCAGAGCTCATAGTTCCAAAGATTTTCACCTAGGTCTTTAAATGAGAGACATTAAACTATTAAAAGGATCATGCTTCTATGTCTTTGATTTTGAGAGGAAAAAAAAAAAAAGAAGGAAACAGTTGAATTCCAGGAAGGCAGGAAAGCTGTTGTCTCCATCTACTTCATAACTGGGACACTTTTAAGTTTATTTCTATTAAATAAAAATTGCAGGAGGCCATCATTTTGGAAAAGGTTCTTCCACTGGGCCCCAACAGTCCATATTAAAAATCAAAATGGAGTCAGTCATGCATAAATTCCATATCAAAAACTGAGCCCTTTATCTCACTTTTCAAGAAACCAGGAGAAAAAAGAGATAGCAGCAAATTTCCCATTTCAACGGGCATGATAACAGTGTTCTTCCGCCTTGTTCCTTACATTAAAAAAAAAAAAAATGTATCCTGATGTTAACCAGTTATTTCTCTATTATTCTGTGCTCTTGTCCCTGATGCCACATAAGGAAAGTAATTTTCAAATGACCGGTCTGCTTTTTGTTCTGTGGTTTTGCTTTTTTTTCTTTTTCAGCTTTTCTCTGTCCATAAATCAGTCTCTTCTGTTGTCCCATTTGGAATAATCTATTTTACAAATGAACTGTTGCTGATTCTAGAATTGAAAACAAAGTCAATTGCCAGGCATGGTAGTGGAACACACCTATACTCCCAGTTACTTAGGAGATGGAGGCAGGAGGATCATGAGTTGAAGGCCAGCCTGAGCAAAGTTAGCAAAGACCCTATCTCAAAAACAAAATAAAAAGCATAAAGATCAGGGGGCATAGTTCAAATGCCTAACAAGGTCAAAGCCTTGGGTTTCATCTCCAGGAGAGAGAGAGAGAAGAGAGGGGAAAGAAGATGAAGAAAGAGAGAAGAGAGAATGAATTAAGACCTTCAATCTAAATTGTAATGTCCTTTGACATTTCTTTCTCTTTTTGGCGGTACTGGGGTTTGAACTCAGGGCCTTGTGCTTGTTAGGTAGGTGCTCTACCACTTCAGCCACTCCACCAGACCTATTTGACATTTCTTGCTTTGGAAATACTTAACCTTGTAAATACTTACCTGTGTGGGGAATTTATCTCGTCTAGACAAGATAATGAGGTCTAGAGGCAGTAACCTGGCCTCTCTATCATGTATAGCTGCAGGATATCTAGCAGAGAAACACAAACCCTGATGAACTCCCAATAAATATTAATTGAATTGAAAAGTTGTCATCTGAAATTTCCCCCAGGCCATGAGTGAGAAAATTCTTCCTTCAGATAAGTGAGCAGCATGAAAGGAAATTCTGCATTCCAGGATCTGGTGCCAAGGAGGATCTTTAGGAAATGGTAATGGTGGGGGAGGTCTTCCAGAGAAATCAATTAAATCACATCCTTGTAATCTGGGCCTGGCGCTCTAAGAAAGGCCCAGCCTGGGATATGGAATCTGAACATGACACCTGAGGAAGGTGAACTACTGATTCAGAGATAAGATAGGAATGGGATTGATTTGAGGGTGCACTCAGCTATGTATGTGAAGACATTTTGTAAGCTATAAAGGGTTACACAAATGCCACCATTACTGCTTTATCATGCACAGAATGACAAAGCACATTTTTTTCAAACCTCAGAATTCCTTAAAACAATAAGGCAAGCACTCAGGGTCTATGTCAGAAAAAGGATGCAGGTAGACTTCTGTGTGTAGAGAAGGTAGTCTTCTGCCCCAGGCCAAATTCCCTGGAAGGGGTAATGGGAGGCTCTGGCACAGGTGATGCCAAGCCCCACAAAAGTGCGTAAGTGCTTTCTGTGTGCTAACTACTGTGCTAAATATTCTGCATCCATGATTTTTCTCAACCTGATGAGGCAGGTACCAATATTACCCCCATTTATAGGAGAAAACAAGACTTTGGGAAGAGAAGTAAATTGCCTGAAGTCACAGAGGTATAAGGACAGGTTTCCTGTCCAGGAACTCAGGTCCATAGAAATCCAAAGTCTTATTTTGTAATAATTCAATTCTGCCTCCCCAAAATGCCCAATAATTTCCCATTGTAAGAAGCATTCTTTCAGCTAGGCCTGGTGGTTCATGCTTGTAATCACAGCATTGGGGGATTGAGGTAGTAGGATGCAGAGTTCAAGGTCAGACTGTGCTACATAACAAGACACTCTCTCAAAAAAATAAAAACAGAAGAAAGGAGGATTCTTTCATGCGGGGAAACTACAACTAAGCTGCTCTTCTTCATCTATCAAACCCTTCCTTATACTTTCAGACACTTTAATGTCATCTCCTATTACTCACTCACAGCCCCTTTATTACACCCCCAGTAGAGCACATCCCAATAGAGCACACTGTCCTCAGTCTTCCCAAGGGAACACAGTGTATCTCAGTACCCTATGTGCTCACCACAGAGGGCAGAGGAAGACCTCAGTGATTGTGAAGAGAAGTAGCTGAATTGGGGTGAAAGAGTGTCCCCTGTTCTGTTCTCATTAGCCTGGAGAATTTAATCTCCATTTCATCCCCAGCCTCAGTTTCCTCAACAGTAAGACAAAAGGGTGTGACTCATGTTTTATAGAGTCCTCTTCCCACTCCAATATCTTTAGAGATTAGGAACTGATTAAACCCAAACGTGAGTTTCCTTTTAATGACATTTCCCCTTGACTATTCATTGAAATAAAGCCACACCTAACCTGGGAGATATAGTAAAGCCTATGACCTTGACCAGGTAACTTTCCTTGAGAGTCAAACCATTTCTTCAATCAGCCCTTTTAGGGCTATAAAAACACACTAAGAATGGGGAGTGGCTGCTGGTCATTCTCAAGTTGCTGGCAAATCGAAATGAAAGGCCTTACAAATAAGCCATCATAGAAAGCAAGGCCAAGGATCTAAGAATCTACAAAGTCAGCAGGCAGAGTCCTATACTCCTCTAGAGCTGCTGTGAGCTCAGTAGTAAGCATGGAGGTGCTCTGGCAAACAAGAGGCCAGAGATAGTTTTTCAGGGCAAAAGGAGCTAAAGATTTCTCAGTTGTGCATACAGTTCAAACGTAGGCACAAAACAGAGACGAGAGAGACTATCTCACACCAAATTCCCAGGAACATTTTTATCATTGCTGTTGTTGTCATCTAAAGGAGAGAGTAAATGTCTGGGAGTGTGGCTCAAGTGGTAGAGCACTTGCCTAGCAAACATAGGTCCTGAGTTCAAACTCTAGTACCACCAAATAAGTTAAAATTTAAAAATAAAGGAGAAAGCAAAAAAGAGATAAATAAAAACACAGAAATAAAGAGGAATATTTATTTTCCCAAGTTGGCTTGAAAAATCAGACCAGTAAAGAGAGGCAGAGCAAGATGGCACCTGAGTGAGATCCTTCCAGCAACACTGCCCCATAGGCAGAATTTGAACAGCTATTCATGCACCAAACCCTTTCACAGCAGCTAAGGAACAGCAAGAAAGTATTTAGGAAGCTTAAAGAGGAAGAATTAATAACATCAAGAATAACTTCTTTTGTATGTCAAGCTACATTTTTTTTGGCAGTACTAGGGTTTGAACTCAGGTCCTCATGGTTGCTAGGTAGGCTACCACCTGAACCGCTCTACCAGCCTTTTTTATTTTTATTATTTTTGAGAGTGTGTGATGGGTATTTTTGAGATGGGGGGTCTCTCAAACTATTTGCCCTGGCTGGCTTCAAACCACAATCCTCTTGATCTCTGCCTCCTGAGTTGCTAGGATTATAGGCATGAGCCACCAGTGCCTGGTAAGAATAAATTCTTTAATTACAAAAAAAAAAGGTGGCATTTGGAATCACGCTGAGACTAGCTCAACCCATATGAATAGTGACAGTGAAATGAGAACTCAAAGAAGACTTCACAAGACCAGCTCTGCAAAGAAAAGGACTTTGTCTCCTAGATGAAGAATCTGAATTTCAATGAAGCAAATGCTCTACCACTTAAATAACATATCTCCAGCACTTTTTTGCTTTTAGTTCGTGCTTTTGCATGGGCCAGCTTTGGCCAGCGATACTCCTACCTCTGCCTCCCAAGTAGCTGGAACCACAGGCATGGGCCATCACACCAGGCTTGTTTTTGAGTTAGAATCTCAGTAACCTTTACCCAGGATAGCCTCAAACCTTGATCTTCCTATCTCCACCTCCTGAGTAGCTAGGACTACAGGCATGAGCCATCATGCCTCATTGTGCTATGGTTCTGCTATTGATCAGAATACTAGTTATTCCCAGCCATCCATAGAGGGGCCAGTCCCAAAGGGATGGCTTGGAGTGAGGCAACCTAAGGAAGTTGAAGTTTGGAGACCCAATAATTAAAGTCACATCCCTACTTGGGGGCGAGTAGCTCACTTTTAGTAAAATGAATAGATAATACTTCATTTTTATCTGGTATATAATGGCAAAAAATAATTTAAATAGCTCTGTGACAATGTGGACATGCCAGTAGTGTGTACTAAGGAAAGTTCCATATCAAGAGTCAGGTTGTCTCATTACAGCTCCATGACTTAGCATTAGTGTGAACTTGGGCAGTATCCACATGACCTTGAACAAGTCATCGCACTTATTCAAGGAGGGGACTTGATAATCTCAGCTAGGAACTTGCTTTTCTAGCCTTCTCTGTGGTTAAGAAAGCATATAACAACAACTAAGGCCAAGGAAATAAAAGTGGACATTTTTGCTTTCCTAATGAAAGGTTACAGAGCAGCAAGCATAAGAGAAAAAAGAGCCGTGCAGAGTCAGAACAGGGCTACACCCTGGATGACTCACTGAGCGCCAGAACCAACACCAGCACCCACTGACCTTTGGAACTCTATGTGAAAAAAAGACACTCTTTTTAAGACTCTCGGTACGTTTTTCAGTTACATGAAGCCAAAAGACATTCCAAAATAAAACTTGTAATGATTCTAACACACTTACCACAAAAAGAAGTTGTGGCCAGGCGACTTCTCTCCAAAGGTGGTGCCCATTTGCTCCACATTCCGTGGCAGGCTGGGTAGGTCACACCCTGGCAGAGGGGTGAAAATTGACTATTAATATTTACTCCAATTTCTCTCTGTGTTTAAAGCATGGATATTTCCTCTACATACAGGCTATAATATAAAAAAAAACAATTTATACACACTGGTTGATTGAAAATTTGACTTCCTCACCAAATTTGTATGTTGAAATTTAGTCCTCAGCATTATGGTATTTGAAAATGGGTCCCTCAGAGATGATCAGGGTATGGGGGTAGACTCTTCATGAACAGAATTAGTGTCCTTATAAAAGAGACCCCAGAGATTATTCTTGCCCTTTTTGTCAGGTGAGGACAGAAAGGGAAGAAAACTGTGTATGACCAATTAAACAGGTCCTCATCAGACTCTGAATCTGCCAACACCTGGATCTTCCACTTCCAGCCTCGTGAACTAGAAGGAAATTATTGTTTATGATATTCTGTAACAGCAACTGAACAGACTAAAACAGACATAAATCACATAATTCAGCTCTTTTGATTCATAGCACAGATACTGAAATTCAAATACAGTTCAAAAGTAAGTGTGGTGGGGAGTCAGAAGGAAATCTTTGTATTTATAGTTCATATTATTGAAGCATACCAGTGTGGAAAGTGACTTCCACAATCAGTCAGTTCATCCCTCATTTCAAGACACAGAATCTGAGGCTCAGGACATTAGGGGACTGAATCTTAGTCTCAGTTTTCATGGCTGCCAATGTCACACTCTTTCTACCACATTGGTATTTTCCAAAGTATGATATATGTCTCTCTAGTGAGGCTAGAGTTGGATTCGAGATGCAGTAACAATCAATAGATTTTGTGTGTTGGCAGTGCTGGGGATTGAACCTAGGGCTTCTTACACGCTGGTCAAGTGCTCGACCACCAAGCATCCCTTGCCCTACGTTCTTAATTAAAATTGTTAAATATATATTAAAGTATGCTTTAGAAAAAATGTAACTGTCACACCAAACCCATGATTTCAAAAATACTATTTTTTAAGTGAGTCGAGGACTGGAGGCATGGCTCACGTGGTAAAGCGCCTACCTAGCAAGTGTGAAGTCCTGAGTTCAAACCCCAGTGCCAAAAAAAAAATTAAGTGAGTTGAGCTGGGGAAAACAAGGAACAAATAATAGTACAAGTTGTGTATGTATACAACAAAGCAATGAAGGGTGGGGTGATGCCAGAGGCTGGGAAACTTTACCTCAGGAGTTGGTAAACTATGACCCAAGTAGACCCATATGTGCCTTTGTACAGACAGCAAGGTTTTACATTTTAAGGTTTTTACATTTTTAAAGAAGACAATATCTCATGGCACATGAAAATCATATGAGATTCAAATTTCAGTGCTCAAAATGGAGCACAGCCATGCCTACTTGTCCCCATGTTATCTGGGACTGTTTTGCACTGTAACAGCACCTTTGAGCAGTTGCAAAAGACACAGTATGGACTACAAAGCCCAAAATATTTACCTTCTGGATCTAAATTATGCTGCTTCCTCCATAAAAGTCATTTTCTGCATCAGATTAGACCCTTAGAAATTTACAGATGTAATAAATACATTTAAGTTGCTTTCACTAAAGGAAAAAAACCTTTGTTTTGTAAATTTGTATATCAGTTTCATCCTCTATTAAAATGTAAGGGTGTTAGATAGATTTTGTCTAAGATCACTATGGAATGAATGGTCCTTTATTATGTACAAATGTAAAATCCCACAAGGAATTTTAACTAAAATATTTATAATTACCGCCATCACCAGGAGCTGAGATAAGCAGAGAAACAGAGTTCTTCAGATGCCGAATTCTCTTTTTTTTTTTTTCAGCAGCACTGGAGTTTGAACTGCCTAGGCACTCTTACCACTTAAGCCACTCTACCAGCCCAACATCCCAAATTTTCTAAAGGATCATGCGTGCTCTGGGCATATTGAAAACTTTAAGGAAGCTATGTCTCCTACCTCCACTAGGCCTTGTAAAATTCTAACACACATGACACAGCCATAATGCACTCTGGCCGCAGAAGGAATGACCATGTTCAAAGTTGATGTTAAGAAGATGGCGGCTCCAAATACCCTAGGGGACCAAAGCACAGTATTGTTTATTGGGCAAGGCAGTGATAGATGAAGCACTTCTGTAAAATGTCAGAAACCAGTTTAACAATCCATGAAACATCCTTGTGGAAATTAAGAGAAAATAATCCAGAGAAACTGATGGTGTGGTGTGCCCTAAGATAGATTGCTACCCTGCTTTGATTATGGCAACACAGGGATGTCCTGTCTAGATGATGTCCTAAGGAGTTGTAGAATGACAAGGTTGAGGTAAACTTGCTGAAGACCCACACTTCTAACTGGCTCTGCCCAAGTGGCCCTTCCTCTTCCCTAGGACTTCTGCATGTTTGGGATTGTGTGTGCCTCCTGCTTTCCATTCTGTTTTCAGTGAACTGGAAGCGGGGAGTGACTGTCCAGGAAGCAGCTTATGACCTGGGACCAGCCAAGCACAAAACAAGCTGTGTTCTTGTCTTAGCCCCCTAGTCTCTGCCAGAATCATTTACTTTCTCGTCCTTGCCCTGCCCACAGTTTCCTGGGGAAGAAGGACAGGCAGTATTTTCTTCTTTTCTCCCATATGTTAGTGATACTTTAGCCCTTTTACATGCTGGGAAATCATATTATGTGTGGTTTCTTTTTAGGGCAGAAGTATAAGCAATAACCAGGATGAACATAGCAATCAATATTTGATCACTTTTTTAAAAAAGAATACAATGGGTAGGAAACAAATAAAAGAAAGAAATTAGACAAGTACACAAGTAAAGACAGTCACACTTATACATATGTAGATCTTATGGTAGTAGCTTTCAAACTTTTGACTATGACCTTAAAATATATTTCTTATTGCAGCCCAGTCTATACTCATACACACAAATGTAACTGAAACAAGTTTCAGAAGTCAATACTTGCCCTTATATGCAATGCACTCAGATCTTTTCTATTCTGTTTCATTTTATTTGATTATCTTCTCTTCCATTTCTCTCTCTTTAAAAAAAAATGCTGCTGGTAAATCACTATTGATCTCCCAGCCATCTAGTGAGTTGTATTTCAGAGTTTGAGAAATTGCTTTACAAGACACAATGTACTTCATGAAATAGATTTCTGTAAAGTCATATGAGAACTACACTGGGAGGGGCCTGAAGATACTTCGTGTACTCCTTCTCTGGGTATGATACACTACAACACTGCCCCCAAGTGACCATCCTCTTGTGCTTGAAGGCATCTAGTGATGGAGGGCTCACCGCTTATTGAGACAGCTCAGAGTGCTCAAACACTTAATCGCTTGCTCACACTCCTCCTGTAGTCTCTAGGCATTAGAGACGCTCTTTCAGTCGAGGTGCAAGCCCATAATACTCAGACAGAACCTTACGGCAATGAGTGATAACGGCGTAAGTACATAGGACCACAGAGTATCATTGTCAAAAAGAACGAAAAAAAAAATAGTTCAAGGTTTCATTTCACAGATGAGGAAACTGAGGCCAAGAAAGAGAGAGAAAGCAATCTCAGAGAGCCAGTGAGGGGTCAGGAATTGTGTCTTCTGACTCATAGTTAATTGCTCTTTTTAGCACAAAATCAATGAGTTGCAAGGTAAATTACATTGAGCAAAAAATGTTTAGACTCTTAAGATCATTTGAGATCAATATCTCCAAACTGCATCTATCTGCTGGCACCTGTTTTTCATCCTGTACCCCCAAATTGAGAACAAATTGTGCAGATTTTATAAAGGTACAAAGCCCCATTATAACCTGGGGAGCGCTCATATTATCTCAGTTTGTCTTACCTGTTAGCAGCAAACTTGTTTGAAATGAAACCACCTGGAATTTGTGTCACTATATAACCCCAGAAAAAAGATCCATGGATAAGGCCCACTGTCTCTGGATCCCAGTTAAATTGTGCTGCCTGAAAATGAGAAATCAGATACAGTTGTGTTTGTAAGGAGACAATTGATTGCTGTTTCTCACTGATGATCCTATATAATGACTTCATAATGTCCTTCTTCTTTATTCAACAAAGGTTTCCTGGAAAGCATCTTGCATAGTTGGTATACAGCAGTAATAGCAGTTAACCAAACAAAGTCCCTGCTCTCATGAATCTTACTTTCTGGGGAGAGAAGAGAGTGATACATATGAACTTAAATATATACATATATATATATACTTATTTATAAATAACATGGTACTCCAAATAGTGTGAGTGCTAAGGAGAAAATAAAACAGCTTGTGAAGGAAACAAAAAATAATTTGTATGGTTACTAACTTATTTACCAGCCATATATATCTGAGGCAATGTAAATCAACATACAAGAGAGAGACCTGCACACCCATGTTTATTGCAGCACTATTCACAATAGTCAAGCTCTGGAATCAGTCTAGGTGCCCAACAACTGATAAATGAATAACGAAAGGTAGTATATAACATGGAGTCTTATTCTGCCATAAAGAAGAATGAAACTATGTTGCTTACAGGAAAATGGATGGAACTGGAGATCATGTTGAGTGAGATAAGCCAAGTTCAAAAAGCCAAATACCTCATTTTTTTCTCATATGTGGAATCTAGACCCAAAATGATGATGATGCTGGTGATGATGATGGGACATGAGTGTAACAGGGAGACCATCTGAGGGGATCAGCAGGAGGGGGAGGGGAAAGGGAGAGTACTAGGGGATGAAGAGGATCGAAATATGTTCCACATACGAAGACAGTATAAAGAAACCAACAAACATGTTTGAAAAGGGGAGGGGACTAAAGGAATATAACAGAGGGGGTGAACTGGTTCAAAGTACACTGTATGTTTGCATCTATAGAATTATCGCGATGAAACCTCTTGTACCATTAATGCTTGTTAATAAAAAAATCTCAGAAAAAAATTTTACAAAAAATAAAAAGTCATTCAGAGCACTTTGTCACCCTGGTGGACTTGCTCAGCTGATATCTAAGCTTCATTCCATTTGGACAAGAGAAAAATAACCTGGTATAAATTAGAATTGTCCTAGAGCCTCTGAAATATTACTAAAATTACTTTTGAGGCCAGAGAGAATGGTATAAAGCATAGTTTAGATCTTAATCAGTCCCTCTAAGACTCCAGAGTGCAAACCATAGAAACTGGAGAACTCAGACTAGCATTGTTCTTTAGGTTTATCAAAATGTCTTTTCTATATGCCTCAAAGCAGACTCTATTGACCTGGGCCTATCTTTTCAGGCAACAAACAAATGCAAAATAGCATCTCATTTTGATCTGGGCCTCACCAGACAAATTTTAATTAGCAGGACTTGCTCACAAAAGGCTGACAGAATGCATGTGATACACATCTGAAACCTTGCTAATATACATCAGTCTTTATTTAAAAAATGCATGCTAAGCTCCTCCATCACACACCCCTAACTCAGCCCCCCAAAAACCAGGAGTTTTTTTAGGACAGATTCGGCTGTGGCATCAAAAAGACTGGTTAGAAGAATCTCCATGGTGCTTTTTTCCTGTGGCAGAATAATCTCTTAGTTTAAAAAAAAAAAAAAAAAAAAAAAAGCCTGCAGGCCAACTACAGGCCTCCTTTTAGTGGACCGAGATCAAATTTTCCTAAACCAGTGCTTGGCAAGAGACCATTCCAGTAGCTGCTAAGGCATTCTGCCACGTGCCAGTCCAGGGTACCACATCCCACACGCCCACCATGGAGAGTCGCATAGGTTACAAAACACAGGTTCCACGTATGCAGTGCCTTCCAAGTGCAGCCTACAGAGCCATGACTTCCAGGACACCAGTTTGGGGCACTCCAATCTAAGCTTTTCTCCAAATACAGGTGGAGACCAGACCACTATTAGATCAGTATGGACACATCTCTGTCAGACTCATTCCAGTGCACGTGCTCAATTCATAAAATATATACTTACTGGGTTTCAACATTTTCACTTTTTTTCTCCCCACACCTCAGTATTTCATTAGGCCTCTCTAATGAAATAATAATGAAATGATAATAATAATGAAATAATTAAGAAATAAGCTAGAGGGCTGGCAGAGTGGCTCAAGTGGTAGAGAGCCTGCCTAGCAAGTGTGAGGCCCTGAATTCAAACCCCAGTACTGCAAAAAAAAGACTAGATTTTATGTTTCTGGTGATTCATAAACAATATTACTAAATCACACCAGAGTGCTTGCTTATGATCACAACAACCTCTAAACTGATCTGCAGCCCCTACTCTGATCACAGTTCAACCTGATCTCCTCCTATTGAACGGTGGATCATTTGGGAGTCTGTGGAAGGAGTCCTGTGTATCTGAACCTAGATGGAAAAAAGTCAATATCTTTATCTTCACTAACTGCTAACTGAAATTTATCATTTTCTGCCAATATGAACACAGACAACAAACCACAATGGTATCATGGGTACCCATGACTCTGTCACTAGTAGAAATCATAAATGTGCACAAATCATATTATATTTGTTGCCACTATCTCAAGCTATCATTTGCTTCAAATTCAAAATTAAAGCAATTTTTATACCTATCACTAGACTTTGTCATTTGATGTGTTATTAAACAAGCCCAAGTGTTTCTGTACCACAAATTTGATTTTTGATTTTTAAATATCTCAATATCTGCAGTTTAATATAATTGACTTCCTTTATAATCCTTTGTATCTGTGTTAAGAAAGAAAACATTATCTCTTTTGTTTGTTTGTTTTGGAGGTACTAGGGCTTGTACTCAGGGCTTCACTCTTGTGAGGCAGGCACTCTACCACTTAGCCATTCCACCAGTCCTAAAACCTTTTTGATAAAGGGTTCTTAAGTCATCTCAGGTAGCACAGAATAGTGAAATGTCTGTGCCTCAGCTCCTGAAACACACCATGTTCTCTCTGTCTCTGTCTCTCTCACCCTCTCCATCCCCCTCTCCTTTCTCTCCCTCTTTTTCTTTCCTCCTGTTTCCCCCCCACCCCTCCTGCCTCCCTCTCTCCCTTCATACATAATGTTCCTTTTCTTCACTCTTTTTCCTGCCCTGCTGAAATTCTTTGTCTGGTCCAGCCATTACTTTCTCTGGGAATTCTTTCATGACATCAAAACCTGTGTTACACCCTCTTCTAGATTAGCCCAAGAATCCTGTACACTCCCTTCAACATAGCAACTAAAACCCCAAGTTGTCATCATTTACTGTGTGCCTCATTCGTCATTCTATCCCTATCACCATGTCCAGAGCCCAGCACATGGTTGTCATTCCACATTTTTGTCATATTAGTGAATGAATTGCAGTGCTTTCTTTTATGTAACAAAACATTTATACAGCTATGGTCAAAGAAAAAAAATCTCTTGCCACAGATTGAAACTGACCTGAATTTCTGGTTTTCCATCTACATACACAGTGCTATTGTTGACCATTTCCACAATGGCAACTCCAAGATTGCATCGAATCCCAAAGGAAATGCAGAATCCTAGCCCACTCATGATGGCAATGATGTAACGCTTAGGGACACCGCAGCAGTGGCAGTCACAGAGTGGAGGGCGTGGCCTGCGTGTCTGCACTGGTCTTCCTTCTTCATTCAGTTCAATGCTATCTTCTTCATTGGTTCCATTGATTTTTCTACATTAGAAAAAGAATAGACAGAGGATAAAACCCAGGATTAAAGAAAAAAGAACACTAAGCAAAAAGAAAATGTACACCAAGAGAAGAAACAAAAGAAAACTTAAAGTAGGATGCAGCCTGCATTTTAAGTTATTATCATCATTATTATAATTAAAGTCAATCACAATGGCTAAAATTACTGATGTTCTAATGTTGTGTTGGACTTTTATAGGCATTTAAATAGCACAACAACTGCTGGGAGCCGGTGGCTTACTCCTATAATCCTAGCTACTTGGAATGCAGAGATCAGGAGGATCGTGGTTAGAAATTAGCTAGGCAAATAGTTTGAGAGACCCTAACCTTGAAAATACTCAACACAAAACAGGGCTGGTGGAGTGGCTCAAGTAGTAGTTCGCCTGCATGAAGACTTGAGTTCAAACCCCAGTACCCCCCAAAAAATGATACCATAACAACTGCACAAGTCATAGTGTTACCATGCCATTTTATGGATGAGGAAACTTCCCTTGAGACTGAACCCAAGCTAGGTTCAGAATCTATGTTCTTAACAATATGCTGCTTTAAAAGTCCTGCTGAAAAAATAATGGGCCATCCACGTAGTATCACCCAGTTAAAATATCACACTATTGTAATTTCAGATCAAGAACCTTGAACCTTGTTGAAAGGACGTAAGGTAAAACTTAAACCATTTGCAGATTCTTTTCTTTCTTCTCCTTTTGTCTAAGTCTTAATTTTAAAAAAAAGCCTTAAGTCTTTTTCTAACTCTTCTTTTTTCCAAGTGGTGGGAGGGAGGTACATTTTATATCACAGCACACACCCAAATGTTTTTGTAGCCTTTCTTCCTTAGGTGCCAAGGAGATGATCTTTTTATATTTTTACCCAAATGGTAGGATCCCTCATAGATTTCTATAGCTTCAGAAGGCATGTCCACTGCACTGAATTTATTCTCTTCTTTAACAAAAAAAGTAACTGGGCAAACTGAATAGTACCTGTCAACTATAAAAGGGCTGTTCATAGTCTCTTATCTATTGCAATCCTCCTGAAAATGCTTACTGGTTTTCATAAATATTTAATTCAATAATAAATAGCTAATATAATAGTTAACAAAATAGGATGAAACAAAATAGTTTGATTTGTCCACCTGTCCATATGGAAGATAATCTTGGCACCTTCTTTCAGCAATATTTAATACAGCACATATATAGAGAAACAAATATACCGGATTCAGTTCAGCTCATTAAATACTTACTGAGTACCTACAATGTACTAGGCACTATGCAAATTGTTGGGGAACAACAATGAATGTGGCATGTTTTCTGCCCTTCTCTAGCTCTTAGGCTGGTGGGAAAGATAGATGCTTATATAAGCAGCTAAAATTACTGGATCATGCAGGTTTTGTTGAAATAAAAATAAAGAGCAATGGTAAAACAGGGGAAGGAACTATCTATAATAAACTACCACAGACTGGTGGCTTAAACAACAAAAATTTATTTTCCTACAATTCTGGAGGCCAGAATTTCATGATCAGTACTGGCAGGGTTGGTTTCTTGTGAGGCTCTCTCTTTGGCTTGTAGATGCTATCTTCTCACTCTAACTTTTCCATAACCTTCCTTTTGTGAGTCTCTGGATCCAAAGTTCCTCCTTGTAAGTACACCAGTCATTTGGATTACAGCTTCCTCAAATGACCTCATTTTAACTGAATTACCTCTTTACAAACCCTGTCTCCAAACACATAGTCTGAAGAACTGGGGATTAGAATGTCAGCCTAAGAATCAAGGAGAAGACATCATTCAGCTCATAATAGTCCCTATCTCTAAAATGGGCTCACCATAACAGGTATCTCATAGGGTTAATGACTGATGTATACAAGTGATTTAGTGTATGCCTGGTACCTGAAAGAGCTCTAAATCAATAAATGGCAGGTGCTGTTATTCTCGCTATTAATCGAATTGTTAGCAGTTCTAAGCTCAGGTGCACTGTAGGCAGAGAATAACCAAGACTGGTAGCATCAGGCATGTGTGGGGATTTGAGGAGCTTAGCTGAAGACAGCCCCAGCTGCTGTGCTCTGATTCTACCACAGCTTTGGCTTTGGCACAGGAGCCAGGCTTTTTAAAGGCTGTTTTCTGCCAAGGACAGAGCACAGCAGGGACATACGGAAGGCACATTTCTCAAGAGACAGGACTCCCCACTAGCCTTGCCAAAACTCCCTAGTACTGTAGTGTATTCTGAAACTCTTCTACCCAATCTGGCTCCCTTCTCTCTCTCCAGCACAGAGAACCTGCAGTCTGAATGTTCTCCTAGCCAACTCCCACTTCTTCCCCATTTTCCCTCAATAAATCTCATATATCTTATCCTGTTTTGCTGTCTGCTTCTTAGAGGACCTGAACCAACACAGTCTCTTGTGCATGGCACCATCTTAGATGTCCTGAGACTTTCCTGAAGAACAACACAACAGATTGGGGTGGGAGAGTAGTGAAAAAAGGGCAGATAGCTTCCAATGGAAGGAAGTATGGGCTCCCTAAGTAGCAGGACCTCAGGCTGCCCAAAGTCACTTACTGCACTTGCCCAGTTGGAAACCAGATGTCGGGAGCAGAGGGAAAGGGACTGGGCACTGAGTACCAGTTTCCTTTGCCTGAAGTGGCAGCTGAGCCACCACTTCAAGTGACCATGGAGTCAGGAACAAATATAAGTCAGTAACAAAAGGGACCTCATGAGTTGTCTATGAGTCACTTGCCCAGCCTGGAAGCAGCAAGAGAGAGGCACCAAATGGACTGAAATTTAGTTTCCACCAAGCAGGGGCCTCAGAGTTACGCTTGATTTGTTTTAAAAACACTGGAGATATATCTCAATGTTGGAGTGCTTGCATAGCATGTGTAAGACCCTGGGTTCAAACCCTAGTCCTGCAAAATGTACAATAATAATAATAAATTTAAAATAAAATTAGTGGAACATTTCTTGTATAGGCAAGCTTAGAGAGAAAGACTGAGTAACAGCTCCCATCGTACAATGGAACAAACCAGGCTTCAGGCAGTCAGACAACCTGGATGTGCTCACCAGTTCTGCCACTTATATACTAGCTGTGTGACGTTGGGCCAGTAACTTGGTCTTTCTGAATCTCACATTTCATCTGTACAATAAACACAGTATTTATCTCACAGAACTGCTGTTAAGATGAAATGAGGCTACACTACAAATTGTAAAATATTACCACCAATAAATGAATTGGCAGTGACTAACTGTAAGGATTTATACCATCTTTGGTATTTTCCTAGGGTTGTTTCAGCTTGGGTGTTTGTGGTGCTCGGGGTCAACCCAGGACCTCCAGAATGCTCAGCACACACTGTACCCTGGGCCACAACCCAAGCCATGTTACAGTTCTACGCATTCCTCTTTAGAGCACTTACTACAAGCAGTAGTTTTTTGTTTTCATGACTCGAACCTGAAGATTTCCTTCTCCATGAACTGTGAATTGACTGAGGAGAGGAGCCCTCTCCTCACCTTTATTCCCAGTCCTCAGGCATACTGCTTGACACAATGAATCCTCATTAACCGAATTGAATGGGAGGCAGGACAGGGCTAATTCAGACATCACTCCTGACTTGGAGCACTTAGAGACAAGGGGCAGGATCTATTCATCCCAACCCAGAAGCAAACTTTAGAGGAAGAATGGGGGAAGGGGAAAGTTAGTAAAGAATAAGAAAGAAATCTTTTCTGAAGAAATGGAGGACTTTAATTATCCATAATAGCTATTTACCCCATTTGGTTTTCTCTCCATATTTGCTGTGGTCAGCCTTTTAGATCAGAGACTCTCCATTCTTTCCAGGGTGACATCCGTCATTGTTGTTCTTCCCAAATATAGAAAGTTTCAGATTGAGGGCTGCCAGCCCTTCCCACACTAGGGAGGCTCCTGCCTACTGGTCTCACACAATGGTCCAGTAAGTCTCTGAACACGGAGATCGAATTGTTTCAGATATGCTAACTAGACTTTGGACGCTTACTGAACTGTCGGCTGACAATCCAAATCCCACCAATTGTGGGAAAGGTTTTGCTTTATTTTTTTAGGTAATTAGGTCAATATCTGGAGCACAAAGGGAGAACTCTGCAGATAATTTTGTGAGTTTTTTAAATCAATTCACTTGCTTACTTCCAGTAAGTATTTTTATGGATTCTGAATAGTATGATGGAGATCAATCTTACTTCTCAGATCATTTAGAGTATTAAAGGAGATAATATATATATTTTAAAAACAAAAATACAGAGTGCCTAGAGTGGAAGAGGAAGTCAACGACTTTTAATTTCTTTCCTTCTTCCAGTAGAATAGCAAGTTAGTGATTATTTGAAAAAAAAAAAAGAGATAAATGTGACTGTTTCAGAAGGCAAATTAGAATACTGTGTTTGCCAGAACTGCCAAAACAAAACACCAGAGACCTGGGAAATTAAACACTAGAAATTTATTTTCTCACAGTCTGGAGGCTGGCAGTCCAAGAAGAAGTTATCAGCACAGTTGGTTTCTCCTGAGATCCCTGCCCTTGGCTTGCAAGTGGTCATCTTCTCACTGTGCACTAGAATGGCCTCCACACATCTGGATCTCTTTGTGCATCCAAATTTCCTCTTCTTACAAGGACACCAATCATATACAGTCATATCAGACTAGGGTCCATTCTAGCACCCTGCATTTTCACAGACTTTGAGGGGCTGTCCTATGCTGGTTTTGTTTTCCTCCTGGTAATTTCACGCTTTCCCGCCCCTTCAGTCAAGTACAGTTATCCTTGCCCCAGCAAATAGACAGTAAGATAAAGACTTTTCTCTTTCTTCTTGTTGCTTTTAATTGTAAACTTATAGCCCTTTAGCCACATCTGGCCCATAGACATGTTACACACACACACACACACATTATTATGTATGAATATGGAGTGTTTTTTAGAATTTGAATTAATTGCCACAGTTTAAAAATCAGAGAGTCTGAAGACCTGGAATTCTCAGGCTCACACTCTCTCATG